AGATTGGATATTGGTCTATAATTAGCTAGGACACCTGGGTCAAGAGTAGGCTTTTTGAGTAGAGGTTTAATTACTGCAACCTTAAAAGCCTGTGGAACATAACCTGTTAATAGAGAGAGGTTAATCAGATCTAGTGTGGATGTGTTGATTAGGGGAAAGACGTCATTGAGCAGCCTGGTCGGGATGGGGTCCAGGAGACATGTTGATGATTTAGATGAAGCAATATTCTGTTTACGTGTCCAAACTTATGTGCAGTGAGTGGAAATTAACTCAGTTAGTGCTTTAGTATTAGAGCTTCAAGATAAATTGTTTTGTGAGCGTAATTTAGATCCCTGTACAATCTCAGTCTCACATGACAATGATTATGCTGTGTTGGCATTAGCAGTGATATCCCTTGCATCAAACTAAGAGCTCCCTTTTCCTCACTAGGCTGTTAACCAATAACCGCAAAGTGATTTATTTCTGCTTCAACTGCTATTCGGCTATAGGTGTACAGGGCAGGCAGCACAACATTTGAAAAACAGCTGCAGCAGGGGACAGAATATCTTTCATAATGTCATACACATTGTATTTGTATCAGTCTTCTTGTCTACAGCTCGTCATGTGATGTAACAATTAACACAGCTTAGCGGGGAAAAGGGAACACCTTGGTTTGATGCAAGGCATCACCCTGTTAAAACAAACATGGCACAATCATTGTCACCACATGAGACTGAGGTCGCACAAAGATCTAAAGCACGCTCACAAATCGATTTATTGTGCAGCCCTATTTACTATAGGCAGATGCACAGAAAGGTCAAGCAGCTCAGTCTATAGTTAAAGCACAGTGCTGTCAATCAGTAATGAAACAAGTGACAAATGACCAAGAAATAAATGGTTCTTACATGTAAATCACACTTGATTAAAACACTAAGAAAAACAACAATGGCAGTTCATTTTGAGGGACACCCTATCTCATATGCTCTGCAATAGGAGAGGGAGGCCTGCTGACATATTCTTCACTCATTTAGCCTAGAGCCTCTGTGGCTAAACCCACTGAAGAGCAGCCATGCTATGATGACACAGAGCACAGCTGAGCCATACCTCATCTCCTCAACTAATACTTAAAGATCAGCAATTACTACTGAAAACTTCAAATGAGCTGGGAACTACCTGGGTGAAAGAGAAGGGGAGGATGATGTTGTTTCATCACCACACAGAAATGAGAGAAGCACCAGCCTTCACCACCATGGGAGTCAGTGGTTAAAAATTTTGGCAGCCATAGTTGACTCTCAATAGAGTTTGCTCATGTTCTCTATCAGTAGTTTCCCCATTACCATAAATGCGTTTAAATAATTTATTACCTGTTGTTGTGTACACACCAGGACCTGTATTACATAGACCTACTGACAGGTTTTAGATTTCAGAGGCACCCATTAGATTAGTCAGGTCTTAGCATGATCCCCTTGTAGTGAGCACTTTTTCACCATGAGATGATGAAAGAGGACTTCTCAGTGCCTCACCTGCCAGATGATCATGAACAGATAGACACCCATCACTCGCTGCAGGGAAGACTTTGGGTCAAACCAGCGTACGTAGGTCCAGCTTGCGGGAGTGAACTGTAGCACAGCTCGTTTGATCTTCCCTGTGGTGGTGTGGATGTCCCTGGATGGGAAGCGCAGGGGAAGGATTACAAAGACTTGCAGATAGACTTGCAATAAGTATTACAATAGTGCAGTAGACAAAGCCAGGTGCCAACTCCTTAATCTTTCAAGTTTAACCCTCCATGTTGAACATGTAGGATCACATTTCAAAACAATTAATGCATGTGAAATAAAACATTTAAGAAGATGAATAAAGCTATCTTTCATAGTTTACAATGAAGTCATCTAGAAATCAAACATAAAAGCTAGTGATGGCCATCTGACACCGATGCTCCAATACAAGTGTCAAACTCGAAGAGGCATATTCCGCAAACCACTGCTTTGATGCTTGCTTTGTTGCAGAAAAAGACACGTGACTGATGACGTCCAAAGCAGAAACGGCTTCAGCCTCCTGAGTGAATCCCTTGACTGGTTCAAACAGTTGATGCTGCTTCATAATGCAAGACCTTGCTGCATGTGTCAGCAGGTTTGTAGGTGCATAAAATCACTATATAGCCACCCAAAATTATGCACAACATGTGGGTTTGTCATCGTAGTAGGTGTGTGCGTAGTTGCTGTCATTATCGTTGCTGCCTTTGTTTGATCACCATCATGGAGCATTCACATAATTCAGACTGTTTTGCTGTCTCCTATTTCGCCACTAGATTCACTGAAATGAACCTGTGAACGAATGAACCAATGTTCGATACAATTGAAGTAGTTCGATACTGGTTCATTGCTTCATTTGGACATTACTAATAAAAGCATGAAGGTAAAAAAATTAATTACTATATAGAAAGGTTTTTACATTTCAGTTTACATTAAGGTAACTTGTACAGGTTGAAAATGTATCACTACTAGGTGTGCTGTTACTGAATATGGGCTGATCAAATGAAGTGCAGGCACCAGGCTTATAATATAATTCCCAGTTCCCTTTTCACAACCTAGAAATTACTTAAAAAAAGAAACTGAACAAATGTTATGTTTCTGTTGGTACTGTTCACACAAACTAAGGATCAACACAAAACTGCATAAAATCTCCACACAACTGTAGTTAATTTCCAGACTGCAAGGTCATACTTAATACTGGCCCAGTGGTAGGTCCTCATCTCTAGGAAGTGGCACACAGTCATGCCAAGCCAGATGCCCCCTCCGTTACACAGGAGAATATCCAGAATAACCTGGTCCCACCAGCACTCAGCAAAGTTAGGCAGCAGATGCATGAAGAATAGCTGAGGAGAAGAGACTGCCATAAGACTCATGTCTGAAAAGTTCCAGACATTTCAGACTAAAATTATATTTAGTACACATTATGTGAAATTGAATGGCAAAAACACCAAATAATCCACTTACATTACCATCTTAACTGGCTTTGGCATTTCTCCATTAGGGAAGAGACAAACCAAGCCAATGTGTAAGAACTAGCAGCAACATAGGCCAACTGTTGCGTCGCCTTGCCTCACGTAACCTTTTTTGGGCTAGTCAGGTTAAAAAGAGGCACCTGATCACACAGCACAGACAAAAGCCAACGGGCAACTACCATGTACGTTCTGTGCCTGCGTGAAAAAAATACCAGCAGATGGTGGCATCTACATTCACTATTCAGAAAGGGAAAGAAGAAGAGCTAGAGTGCGAATATCCATCCATCCATACCGCTTATTCCTGAATAGGGTCGCCAGGGGTGCTGGAGCCAATCCCAGCTGCCATTGGGCAAGAGGCGGGGTCCACGCTGGGCAGTGTCTGGCCTTGGTCTTTTGGTTTGGAAAAGAGGTCGTGGAGGCGAAAAAACAAGGAGAAACCACTAAATGTGTGAAATAATGGATACCACAGCAACAGCCTAAAGGGACTTTCCTGAAGGGTTCTCTTCTCGAGCACGGATTTACCAAGCTGAACAGCCAATCAGAGTGGTCTCTCATCAACAAGGCCCAACCGGCTGACACAGATTTAACATGCTGAGTTGGTTGAAAAGCCACCAACAGGGTATGACTTGAGCCCCAACAGACACCCACAGACAACCCAACAGTGGCCGATGGCCGAATGTCAACTTGGTGTGTCACAGCCCTTATAATGAGAATAAGTAAGAGGGAGCGAGAGGCAGGCAGAGAGGAAGTCATGTTATAGGAATCTAAGCATGTGGATGACAGTATTCAGACATCTGGTGTGCATCTCTGTACCTCTGTAAGCTCCCAGGTAATGCTGATGGTCCAGCATAGACCATAGCTTCGAATGAGAAGGGCCTTCATACCCCAGCCCCAAAAATGGCTGAATGCAAAAATGTCAAAATGGCTCAGGATTCTCTCCCAGGTGATGACATGGCAGTTCTCAGCATATTCCTGCAGAGAGTCGTACACATAGCCTCATTACAAAGATTGATCATTCCCTAATAGTGAGCACAACTGGTGTGTTTCGTAAATTAATCTGAAAATTACTTTCTGTGTAAGCCTAAACCACTCACCATTATGTCAGCTTCTCTCTTGGCATAGCGAAGATTTGGGTCCAACCAATACATTAGCTGCTTTACCTGCTGCCAGTTGAGGAAGATGATGAAAACCAGGAACAGGAAGTAGAGGACACTTAGACCTAAGCAACAGAAGAATATGACAGTAAGAGGGGAAATCTAAGGTCCAAAGAAAAGCTATTTCTGCCGACTGAGATGTTCAACATAAACTCACCAAAAACTATTCGCCATATTGCTGGATGTGGTCTGGTGAATGGCCCTACAACAAGGAACATTATGGTGTAGATACTGTATAATCAACAACAGGTTACTATTTAAAAACCGGTTACACTAATCAAACAAAAGCAACATATCAAATATTCTATTCGCCCAGCCACAATTAATAACTTTTCAGGGTGTGGTGATAACCAAGCTACCAATGGTGTCATTATTATTATTTACTGTGTTAAACCTCAGGTTTGTGAAGCACCTTCAAGCATATTAGGTTTAAGAATATTCAGTATTTGCATGCCTAAACATATTACTTCAGTGTCCCTTTTTATTTGCTTACCATTAGGAAACGCCAAAACACTGATGACAAGGAAGAAGGAGATCATTAGGATGAGCCCCACCCAGATATTACTGTCAGGATTTCCATCATCTCTACAGAAAGAGGAAACCAAATTTCTCCCTGAGCAGTTGACATCATCAAGAATACTGTGGCATCTTCTCTTTATGTTAATCATGAGGTATGCATTATGCCCATTCCACAGCTGTAGTGATATGATTGTGCCTATCATTTCTACATTTTTCAAACAGCTGTGTTTGTAAAACAGATAAACATTAAATGTAATGTTATGTTATGACTCGTCTCCTTGCTAGTTATATAGCTAGCTGATGCCAACACCGGAAACGGTTCGACACTGGACTAATGCCACACAGCCCTTCTTTTTATTAACCTAAGCTTAAAGAGTAATGAAACCTAGACGTAGGTGGTTACTGCTGAGAAAACATGCCAGGGTCGGGTGTGAATTTGTTGTTTTGTGAGAAACCCCAACAAAGAGCAGCTAAAAGCTAGCTAACCCCTCTGCATGCCTGGTACAGTCAGAGCATCATCGCTCCAGCTAGCTAAATGCTAACAGAGCTAACGTTAGCTGTGGACGACCCACCTTGTGAACGCGAAATACATCAAACTGAGCACCGTGCACGTTAACAATGTTATCGTGTGCGGCCTGTAGAAAAACTCTATCGTTATGTCTTCCACCTGCTGCTCGTTTATCATTCGGAAATGCATCCTATAATTCACATCATCCTTGCTCAAGGTATGGCATCCGGTATACAAGGACGGCATGGCTGGACGCAGCCAGGAGCGCAGGAGACGCGCCAGCTCCTCACAGCAGCATGAGAAAATGATCCCCTGCGGCTACCAGCAACAACTATCAGCACAGGCAGCAGGAAACTGTTAGAATAAATAAGTTCTATAACTGGCGAGCAGCGTACAAAGTACAACAGACGCCCGAGCACTGTAAGCAGTAAAGGATTACTCAGGGGGAAAAACGATTACAATTTCTTCGCTTTTAATTTTGATTGGTGAACATGTTTGTTGGGCGTGTCCCGAAGCGGAAGAACTCATCTCCCCTTCATTAAGTGCTACGATGGTCGTTTTAGCGTGACTTCCGCGCAAGGGCTATAAACCATGTGAGATTACCAGAACTGTCTTATAAATATATCCAGTTAATTAACTATGTGAAACTCCAGGTTTGAGGATCTTGAACACAGAGCAGAATGCTTCACTTACAGATAAATCTATTTGATTTGTTTAGTGTGCTTTTAGCCCCCTCTTGTTGCCGTTTATGGTTTCGCATATCACTGAAATCAAAAACATCAGCTTACACCAGGGGTCTCTATTTCTATAATGGTT